GTTTCCGAGAGGAAAGCGAGGCAGAGCCAGGCGCAGCTGTGCGGGGAGGAGCGGGGGGAGACGGAGCCCTCCCAGCCAGGCAGCTGCCGAAAAGGGGCTCCAAGAGGCAGTTTCAGGAGGGCGACGTAATAGGTATTCTGCATGAGGTTTAGAGAAACGCATCTCACCAAAATAACTTCATGGCTTTGACAGGATTACAAGCCGGGCTGATACAGGTAATAAAGCTGATGTAATCATATGACTGCACGTTTCATAGCAATTTAATTAACAAACTGCCAGGATACAAAAAATCAGCACAGTACACACTAAAAGGATTCCAACCAACAGGTTTCTAAGTAAGAGTTTATTACAAACTAAGTGAAGCCACAGCCGGTAGGGTTTGCTGGGAAAGTTGCTTTTTTCACCTCCTGCTGCTGCCTGCGCTCCACGGCCGCAATTCCCCGGCGGGACGGGCTGCTCGGACCGTGGCCTGTGCCACAGGGCTGGCCCGGGCAGAAGGCAGACCGGTGGGAAGATGTTACTGGGAGCAGAGGAGTGAAAAAGCAGAAGATAGGGGAATAGAGAAATTAGATCAGAAGCAGTTGCTGCACGAGGAATGCAGCAGAAACGGCCGACGTGCGCCTGGCGAGGTGGCGGGGGGAGCATGAAATCCCTTGCAAGATGGTGAGATATTTCAGACTGTCAGGTCAGCTTAAATCAGTGGTGCGAAGTGGGAGCAGGTCCCGCTGCCGTTGCGGGATTACTGAGCTCCGGCTGCAGAGCATCTCTCGCATCGGGCAGGCAGACCGCAGCGGGAAGAGGCGTTTCTGTGCGTTAACGTGCGGGCCAGCAAACCCCACGCTGAAGCCTCTGCGAGCAAGTTCTGGCTTTGTAAAGGCAGATGGGTCTGAATCCTCCCTGGGACATCGCTGATATTACTAAATTTACGCGGAAGACGTTCAGGGACAGCAGTGATGAGCAAATCTTCCCTGAGCCAGGGAGCTGACCTGGCCCTCGCCTTCCCAGCTCCAGAGGTAAAACCAGGGTTCGTTCCCTGGACAAGGAGGGCTGCTCCGTCTGAGCCCACCCCGTCCGTAAGTCCCGGGGTCCCGCGGCCGCCGTTATCCCTGCAGGGACGCGACTGCCTGCTCCGCTTCGGCGCGGCGCTCTCTGGGAAGACGCCTGCCCAGGCGTGATTTACGCAAAATCACATTGAGTTTCACAGCACAGTGCAGCTCTGCTTTGCCCTTTTGTGTTTTAGGTTGAGTTGTCAGGACTCTTCTGCCTCTGCCACCAGACACTGTATTAATATAGATTTGATGTAGATAGAAATGATCTGTTTATTTACTTCTATTGATGAACCCTCGTACAATAGTGTCTGAGCTTACAGTGCAGAAGCCTGCAGTTGCAGGCTGGCTTTCTAAGCTTTTTTTCATATAGAGACAGTTGTTTTTAAAGTGTATAGTATTAAGCTAGACTTTTTACCTTCTAACAGAGCTGTCTCCAGACACTAAACGCAGAGAATTTAAGTGAGAATGCCTTTGGCATACCACTTCGTAAAGCAACAAAAGATATATTTACAGGCGGCGAACTTCTCCCTTAGTTCACCCTAAGATAAAATTCTGGTGACTATCGATGAATAAACATATACCTTTAAAGGCAGTGTTCTCATCCCAGATTTTAGATTTACGGATGTGTCAAAGTTCTGTCTTTTCTAAAGCTTGTGCATGCTATGAGACATATCAAAATGGGAGTTGTATGAGCCCAGATCCTGCTTAATCCCAATTTCCCCAATTCCTGTATGTAGTTCTTCTTTTGGCCCTTCTTTCCCACATATCTGCGCTAATTTGGATACTGGTTGTTAACAGATGTTTAACTGGCAAACCAGTTATGAGCTAGTCTGCAGGAATGTCCCAGTGAACCTTTGCATTTGGGATCGACTCAAGGATCCTGCAGCATGGTGGGGATGGAGCATTTTTATGCAGTATTTATTGCCATTTCTTACCTCTTATAGCTATTTTCAGACATTCTTATGTCATCGTATTCTCCAAAACTCATTAAAACATGCAGATCTTCTGAACTGGATCATCTAGTTGGGTTTGAGCCTGGGAGTGTGCAAAGTCCCTTGCTGGGCGGGCGGCAGCAGCAGATCTGCCAACGGTGGCTGTATCGCCACCTCTTTTAGCACTTACCCTTTCACACACGTCAAAGCTGCAAATTTCAAGTTGCTTTGTGGAGGGGAAAAGATAACCAGCAGGGCTGTTTGCAAGCAGTGCACTAAGAATAATCACTTCACTCTTGCCTTGGTGTTAGGATGATAAATACACATGTAAATGTAGAAAATACCAGAGATAAAATGGGCTGACAAATAGGCTGTGCTACCTCCACTCCCTCAGCGGGAATGAGATGCTACTGCATACTTGCAAAGCGCAGGGAAGGTTTTAAGCTCTGCTCTTATAACCGTAGGATAATAAAGCTGCACTTCATCCATGTAGTTTTAAACTATGCCAAATGTAAGCTATTCCTTTTCCTTAGCATTCATAAATCCAAACAAATGCATAAATAAAGGTGAGAGGTGTTTTACAGAGGGCTGGAGCTTCGTTGCCTTTTAACGCTGACATTTGGACGTCGTTTATTGCACAACTGACTGCCACAGGAAGGAACACTAAAAATGATTACTGTTAAAATCTTCTCTCGTCTTGTTTGCTTGTTTTGTTTTGTTTTTGTTTTAAAGTCTTTTTATCTATAAATTCAGCCAGGCAGCAGGCTATAGTTGTGTATAACTAGACAGCATGAAGTGCTGGATTAAACTAACCCAAGGGAAGAGCCTCATGATTGTGGGAAGGACACTTTGAGGCTGGCTGGCTGCTCCAAGAAGTATAAATATTAAGCAGTGGAAAGGCATTAAGCTGCAAGGCTCTGGATTTCAGCCAGTCCCTGGCTGCTGCGGGAGGTCCAGAGCCTTGCTGCGGAGCATCGGAAGTGTCCGAGCCCGGGATGCAACCGCCTGGCTCCCAGCTGTGGAGGCAGAGGACCAACGTGATGTTTGCTGCTTCACGTCCTGCCGGCCTGCAGCCTCTTCGCGGTGCATTTAAATCTCCTCCGCGCACAGCGGCGGTGCAACGTGTCTGAAGGGAGGCAGAGGTCCCTGGGCTCCCGGCCCACAGGGTGCTCTTGGTGTTGTTGCAGTTTCATGCCTCTGCAGACCTAAGCCCCAGCACTTACTTTATCCTTTCCTAATGACGCCATCAGTGTCTGGACTTCTATGCACTGATAACTGAAGCTTTTGCGGTTTTTTGTGCTTATCTCTTACTACACCAGGTGTAGAGAGAGCTGAGCTCTGTCAGAGAAAATCACGTTTCCTGAGAGCATGCAGGAAGAGAAGTTGGGGAAGGATATTTGAAATTATTTATCCTGAATGATTTGCTCCATAAAAAAAATTATTGCATAGTCACATTTATGCATACAAATTTAGTTCCGTGCAAATTTAGCTCCAAGTTCACACCGCAGGAAAAAGAACGTTCCACTACGTTCTAATGGTAATTTAATTTTTTAAAATTGCAAGTCTGTGATCTGAAATTATAATATTATGGTGCCGTTGTTCTGCAAGGCAATCAGAAATGGAAATTCAGAAAAAACATTTGCATAATAATAGCTGCTGTGCATGTCTGTTTCAGATGCATTTATTTAGTGGTTGCTGATTTTTTTTTCCCCCTCCTGCCCCCTTACACCTACTGGAAGACAAGGACTCTGATTGTAAGTCAGTGCAGGCGTGTTTTGAAGGTATGTGTCTGAGCTCCTGCTGCTGTAGAAGCTTTTAAATCTTCCTTTACATTTTGAAAATCACAGGGATTGCTTTGTCTATTGATGCTGGTATGACCAAAGCTCCAGTTGTGCCTGAACATAGTGTGAAAACTACTCTCACTGTCTTAGTCTCCTGGTGTTTCCTTCATAGGAAAAGTCTCATCCAGGCATCTCTCAGCTTTTTCTGATCCCTCTACAAAAATATAGGTCCCCTGAAAACTTTTCTGTGGTGTGAGTAGTGTTTGAAAGGTAGGTGCCTGCTCAGTGCCTTTCCTGGAAGAAAGGAGCGGTTTTTGTGCTGGGCCAGGACCGCGCTTGCCCGCACTGTAGGGTGATGCTGGGCAGGACTCAGTAAAGCAGAACGACCTTGAAACGGTGCCGCGGCTCCTGGGATTGGTTTCTTTAGCAACACAAATCAGGTTGGATCAGGGATTTCCCTTGCTGGTGCAGCTCAGCCTGGAGCACCAGCCCTCGCGTTTTCATGGCAGCATTTGGCTCTGCTGGGGAGAGGGAGAATGGGCTCAGACCGGGGATCCGCGTAGTCCTTATCCTTGCTCTGCAGGGGCCAGCACCAGCTGTTTCTGAGGAAACCATTAGATTTCATAATGCACAATTATCTGATAATTTACCCCTAGGAGAAATTTCTTTCAAACCTTTGGCAGCTCTCAGTTGGCTTATTTCCTAGAGCATGAGGTTTTATACCCCTCGTATCTTTCATCCTACTGAAAGTTTAGGAACTCTGGATTTTCTATTGTTTGTAGGTATGCATCTAATCCCTTAGGATGCTCTCCTGTCTCCAGTTGAAACTAAGTAACCCTCGTCTTTTCAGTCTCTCCAGCCATGGAAATTGCCTGATAACAAAAGTTGCTCTTCTCTCACCTTTCTTTTTTCCTCTGTGTTTCCAAGGGGCTGTAGGCAGCAGGACTTAGGACAGTGTTCAAAGCAAAGGTGGACCACTCCCCTTGCTAACAGCAGGTGCCATAATCGTTCCACAGTTCACTTCAGCTCAGTGGCGAGCTCTGTGAAAACCCATGGACTTGTCCATGAAATGCAGATATTCCTCACTTGGGTCTTTCCCCCTTTTCTCCTCCTGTGTCGGATACATATCTCAAGGGGATGTGAAATCTTAACTGCGTTTTGGGTTTGTAGAGAGTGCAACAGACCAGAACATCTTGCTTTTTGTAACTTCATTTCTTGCTTTTTTTCTTTTTTTGCAGAGTCGGAAACATGCAAGCAAAGTTCGCCTCTATTATATGCTTCATCCCGTAGATGGAGGCTGCCCAGCTAAAAAGCTCCGATCAGAAAACGTAGGTATAATTTGAATCCCTGTTTACTCAGCTGCTTGGTGAATCATTGACTCTGTGCTACATTTTTTCTGTTACAGCCACAGATAATTAAGTACCCAGAGGTAACATTTAAATTAACTGAAATGTTTAGTAACTTTTTTTTAGTAACTTTTTTTGAAAAAAAAATTATTTGAATACTGTTTCATAGGAAAAACATATGTTGACAACAAATATCCAATATTCACTTAGTTTGTCTGACAGAGACCAAGCTACTGGCAGTGGCTAGTTTCTTGCTGGTGAGCTACTGTGCAAAGGCCTGGGAGCTAGAGGGAGGCTTGTGCTTTCAGGCTGCCTTTGGGGCAGCTTCTCTTTAGCGGCCCTGGCTGGAACCTTACAGTCGCTATGCTTGAAGCCTGTGCTCAGGCCACTTCTAGATGCACTCAGATGACTTTCAGTATGCAGCTTTCTTCCCAAAGGGCAAGGGGCACCTGGTACAGAGCAAAATTGCCCATTTGGCCAGCATTTTGGGTGCAGCGCAGCAGGTTATAGGGCTGAAGAGGAGGCCTGTGCCTTGGGTTCAGTGCCTGCACCCGAACCCCAGGGCAGCCCATGCCCCGAGAGGCAAATGGAGACACGCTTGATGGATTGCACCACTTCCTCCCTCTTCCGGGGCCAGCTGAGTCCTTAGGTGTCGACATGTGGAGGTCTTAGTGATCATGGCAGAGCAGCAGGTGCAGAAAGGACATGGCTGTGCCCATAGCTGCACCTTGGATCTCCAAAAAATGACACGGGGCTGCTCTGCACTGCCAGCACAGATGTGCCCACACCTTGGACCTCCTGCCTAAGAGGAGGCCGGTAGGTGCCACAACATGATTGAAAACTACGAAGGTTAGAGAGCCCCAGATGTGAAAGGAAAGGTCACCAGAGACTGAAGCAACCTCTGGAGGTCTCTTCGAGCCTGAGGTTTTCTATGAGTCTATGAAAATTGACTTCTGCATCTGAAAGACTCCTAGCAAAGTCTTTGTGAGCAGTCCACAGAGTTTTAAAAATTGCAATCAAATTTCTCAATTACATTCTAAAAAACACATACATACATACATAAGGAAATCAGACCTGCTCACAGCCATTTGTTAGGCAATAAAGGGAGGCTAAATTTCTAAGTGGACGGCTCTCAGTGAATTATTCATTCAGCTCCTTCCCGTGTTCTCAGGCCTGTGTGAGTGCTGTAGATGAGATTCCCAGCAGATAGATTCCAAACATTTCAAATCTATGGGAGTGTGACTATAGCTTAATGCTATCAATATTTAGTGATATCTTCTAATTAAAGAGAGAAGCATGTAGGTTTTGCCAAAGGGATCTGAAAGCTCCTTCACACAGTAATTAAAATTTTAGTAGAACTTTTATGTTGCATACAGGGTAATTGCAGATGCAATCTTCCTCATAACAACAGAATCTTGCACTGTTTTTATTGAGTTATTAATTACAAAATGTGCAAGATACAGTGTACACTTTGTAAGATGCACATATAGACTTGGTGCATAAGCCTATAATGAACTTCACTACAACTAGCAAGAAGCCGCAGACCAACATATACACATTACCATGTGGATACAGTGGATGGAGAAGCAAATATAAGTCAAAGATGAACTATTTCCCATTTCATTTATGGAAGGGAATAGTGAAGATTAAGAGAATTCCATATTTCCTGGGCTTGATTGTGCCAAGAGCATCCCTTAATAGGGGATGAGCGGAACAATCTTTATGAACTAGATGAATGCTAAACTATGCAAGACCTAAATGCTAAAAATCATTAATATTTTAAAAGTATGGGAGGGAAAAAATCTGCTAACATTTACAGCTTAGTATTTGCAAAGTTCGTGTATTGCTGATGAGATATTATCCAGGCCTTTCCATTTAAAGAGAACAGAAATATTTAGGGCATCTCTACGGCAGCGTGATATCATCATTATCATGTTCATGAGGCAGATCTGTTCCCCATTTCAGATGTTTAGCAGTGCTAATCAAGCCATGGCGCACTGACTTCAATGAATATTAGAAACAGTCCTTGAAAACCAATTAAATTTCTTTGTAGAAGCATATGAAACTAAAAAGGGTATATTCGCTTTCTTCCATCAAAAACTGCACTGTTTGATGACTTTGTATTCTTATTTCTTTTGTAACATTTTGGCCGTAAAACCAAATGCCTTATCTTTCTTCCAAACGATGGTAAAGGGTAGGAAAAGCTGCTTCTGTTGTAATTACCTGATGAAATTGGCTTAGAAACAGTATTTGCTACCTGACCTTTCAAAGACATCGAGGATAATATTTGCTGTTATTTGAAGCTCATAAAAATATTCCTTATTCCTTAAATACCCATTATTCTTTCATAGCAAGAAGTACTAGACTTATACAATTTGTTGTGCACTGGATAGCAGCCCAATTGTTTGGCTGTTCATTATTTTTTTTTAATCTTGGGGGGCGGGGCAGAGGGGGCGTGTCTTTGGTGTTTTATTTTAAATTTCCACTTAATGTTTCAGCTGAAAGTAGTCCGAGAAGGTCACAGGCCATGGCAGGGGCCCTCTGAGATCAGGAGTCATATCCTCAAGTCTCAGAATTGGCAAATTAGTTTTCGTCAACCTTTTCTTACTACCTGTAAAAATAGGACTCCTTTTCTGATCAAGGTAGGCGTGATGAAATGTGCTGGTGTGCTATGAGGCATGCTCGTTGGGTGGGAGAAAAACCTTCAAATTCTTTCTAGCCCTGTTCGTATTATAAAATAGGGTAATTGCTCTATCCTGGATCTTCTCTCTTAAAAAAGAAAGGGGTCACAATGTCAAGGTGTGAATTGTTTCAAGGAAGATAGACAGGATGTGAATTTTTGTTGCCAAGGGTAGGGCATGCCCTGCAAGGCAGCGCTGGGGATGGTTAAGCAAGAGCCGAGACTTGTTCTCGGGGACCGAGGCGCAAGCGATACCAGCAACTGTCTTGGGTTGCTCCGCTTCAGTTCCTGATGTTCAAGGAAATTGTCGTTTTTATAGCTTCTGGTGTAAAATTTACTGCATGATATAACTTAAATCTTCAGTGATTACACAGAAACTAAGATGAAATATCTTGTTTTAGAACCAAAGTTCTTACTGTGTGTTTTGTACCTGCTTAGAGGTTTTTAACCAAAATGCCTGTGACTGGTTTCATCAGCAGAAATTAGTGATGGATGACTTTAATTTATTCCTCAGTAGGAGGCTGAGATTAGGGCGGAATTGCTATTGCTGCGTGCCCGGCCCCGCGCTGCACGCAAATCGCAGCTGTCCCTCCTGCCGGCAGCTCCGCGCCCGCGGCAGCGTCCCCCAGCGCGGGAGGCGCGCGGGGATCGCGCCGGCGGCCGCGTGGGAAGCTGCAGCTGGCAGCGGTGCTTCCTGCAGCCGTGGCTCGGGTCTGGTCCTGTCTGTTGTTGCGTGCTTGTGCTATGCACTGATACCTGTGCGGCACCCGGCACCTTGCACAAATAGCCGTCAGCAGGTGGGGAGCCCAAATCTAGGACGGGTTAACTGAGAAGCATCTGTTGGCTCTGTTTATCTCCCTTCACTTAGACCCAACGTTTGGGAAGTAAAGAAACAAGATCAGAAAGAAACAAGGGACCCAAGCAAGCAAAGCTGTTGCAGGGATCACGCCTGTCTTTGCAGTTGCTCTGGGCTTTTTGCTTATGCCCCAAGGCCAGCCGTAGCTGTCCCTCCTGTCCCGCAAAGCAGCCGCGGAGGGAGCCTCAGGCCGCGCTGCCTGCCGGGGGAAGGAGCCGGCGCCGCGTCGAGGCAGGCGCGGGCTGATGCGATCTGCCTTTCCCTCAAACGCGAGCCTGGACTAGGGGAAGGGACTGGCCTTCACGCAGCCGGAGACGCCCGTCAGCGAAGGAGGTGGAGGAGCCCACCCGGCCGCTCTGGCCGTTCGGCTTTTGCCCTTGGCAGGGCTTAGGCGATAACTGTCGCAAACCCTTGTGCAACCATCTCTGTGCTTTAGGGCACAAGTTGAAAATAGAAAAAAATAATTAGGCAATTAATGTCCTATTAGACACAGAAATGACTTGTTCTCTTTGGTAAATTCTCCAGTGCTTTGTCCTATGTAGTTTTAAATATCCACTTAGGTCTGCTACAACTGAAAGGTGGAATCCAAGGTCTCTGGGTAGGGAAAACCCCATCTGCTCCCAACGACTTGCGAGTGGCTTTGTCCCTGCCAGGGCTCTGAACTTGGAGCATGTGTTTATTTGTGAAACATATGCTGTACTTAATTTAGGTGTTTTTTTTTTTTTAGAGAATGTGTAGTTCTTAAGATGCTCTGAGACTTGATGACCACACCAAATTTAGATAGTCATAGGTCAGTACGTGCTCTTTGCTTGTACCACAAGAAAAGCAGACTCCAGAATGGAAGCTGCCTAAATTTCACACAGAGCATTATGCAAAATAGCTTTTAAACAGCAGCACCTTCTTCATGCACAGAAAATTAACTCAAATTTAAAAGATACTTCGCAGCACCTTGAGTGCTATATTTTATATTGCTATATTTCAAGGGTTCATATAATCTTTTCTTCTTAGTAAAACCTAGGAAATGAAGACAGCAACTTTGTGTCTGTGGAATAAAAATTATTTTCCTGCGGTTTGCTTAAGGGACATCCAGTGCGGGACTGCCACTGCCTGGCTTGATGTGAGGATTATGCCTTTTAGCAGCTTGTTAACAGGCATATAAAGAGCAGAAGTTAATTCTGTTGGATGTACAAGGTTTGCTTTGAAGTTTGTAATATTTAAAAAAAAAAGAAGCACTAGAAATTAGCAGATCACTGGGAAGCGGGCACTTTATTTCTAAGCCCACGGTGCGTTGTGTTGTGCTCTCGGTAGACACGAGGTCACTGGGTCCCCAGGCAGCAGCAGCAGCAGTGGTGGCAACGTGCCATGCAACACGTGCCTTGCTGGGCATCGTGTCCTCTCCTTCTGTGGCAGAGCCCCTTTGGCAATGACCTGAGGTCGGGGACACTT